GTGTTATTTCTTCCAGTACCAATAACAATTTAGACATCCTGTAACCTCAGAATGTCTCTCTCTCTCCCTCCCTCCCTCCTTGATTTTGTTTTATTCTACACAGAACACAGAGCAATTCAATCAAATTGTCTATTGAGAAATCTGATTATGCACATACCTGCTATCCCTTTTTGATAACACCCATTTTTTTTCCTAGTCTACTGAGAAATTGATTAAGTAATTTTTATGTAAATGTGAAGTCTGAGATTTCCTTACAAGTAATAAATTGTCAGATGCTGATTAACCTATGAAAATGCAATACAGCATCTTAATGCTTGGATAAATTGCCTGCCACTGTAAATACACATAAATTAAATACTCTATCAAAATTAATGAAACTCAGTCGTTGGTGTAAAATGATGAAACCTGATTACTTCAGACTCTGTTACCGACCTGTTACTTTTGTAAAGTGTGTTTTATTTTTATTCTATTTTCTTGTCTTTTTTCCTTGCGTTATGTTGATTCTTTTTTTTTTTAACACTTAATTATAGTACTGAAGACCACTGCTTGCATTGCTGCTTGAATTGCTTTGCATTTCTTTATTCCCTTCATGCTTTTCAGGTGTCTTGCCTACTAAATGTGCTTCTACTAATCTACTTCTCTCCACCTCTATGGCCACCATCCTCAACAAAACCTCCATCATCGCTTCCTGACAGCCTCCTGACTTTCTAGAGGAACCCTCATTCACTTCCAATCCGATCTTACAATGAATTTGAGTAATTTTTATAAAGCACAGAAACTCCCAGTCTTAAATTTTTCCTGTGCTTTATCATTTCTCCTGGGACAAAGACCACAATTCTTATTCTAGAGTCCAGAATCTAGACCTCGAGGCTTCTCACGATCTGTGCCCTGAGCACTATCACAGAGGACTTACCACTTATATCTCAATTGTTTTATCATTGCCCTCTGTACTGCATCAGAGACTCTCCTTAGACTGTTTTTCTTTTCCCTAAAGTTCTCCTTCTACCCCCACAAAATATTTAGCTCTATAAACTCCCACTTGAATGTTCATCAGTCTTTAAGTAAACCTCCCTAGAGCTTCCAGATTAAATCATTGTGGACGATCATTCTCTAGCTCATTTATCAGTTTGTGATTATATCCCTCATTGCCCATTTGGTTAATGTCTGGCTCCTGTGCTAGGCTGTAAGCTCCATGAAGGAACTAGGCCAGTTGTGCTAACCATGAGGCCTGGCCAGATGCTTTCTAATCTCAAATGACAAATACCTCCTGCCTGTTTATCAGTCCTGTCTCTTAACTTCTCCACACAGTGGACTATATTCTTAGATGATATTTGCTCTACTTGGTTTCTCTCATTATCTGGATAGTCTGGAGTAACATACCCTGCACTGCTAAAGTTTATGTAAAGTATAAATTCGTCCCTGTGAGGCATGGGTTTCACTATGCTGTAGGTGCCCAGGAAATACTGACTGAGTAGAACTCTTAGACCCATGCACATTGCTAGCACAAGAGAAAGAACTTAGTATTTATTTATCCACAGAAATCAATTGAGGCTGAGTTGAGCAATAAGTTCCGTAAGAGCCAAGATAAATTGTTTTAGCTGGAATAATATGCTAATAATAAATAATAAAAAGAATTTAAAGTTGGACAAGGATTTTTATCCCTTTTTACTGCAGCTGCAGTCTGATTTGTTATATAATATTATCTTTCCAAACAGACCGTCAATTGCTCTTTTACTAAAGTGTGTAACATTCCACTTGGACGTTAGACTGGGGAGTTTCCACGTCTGAAGCAGTAGGAAGACCCCAAACCTTCTAACAGAGAATGAATGGCAGGTGATGAGACATGTGCTTGCCAGGAAATGTGCAGGATAAAAGCATTGCATTCCCTGAATAATTATTGACAACAGTAGCAGAGAGAACAAACCATGCAGATTCCTTTAC